AAATAAAATATGAATAAAAAAAGAGAAAATCTGCATGTGCTTTATTGACTACAGAAAAGCATTTGACTGCTTAGATCACAAAAAGCTATGGAATGTTCTCAAAGAAATGGGAGTGCTACTACATTTGATTGTCCTGATGGGCAAGAGTCTGCCATCAGAACTGAATGTGGAGAAACAGAATGGTTATCAGTCAGCAAAAGGGTCAGGAAAGGCTTTATACAATTATCCTATAAATTCAAGCTGTATGCAGAAAATATTATATGCAGAACATGCTTAGACTCAGAGGCAGGAGGAGTGAAGATTGGAAGAAGGAACATTAACAACTTAAGATACGCAGACCTAACAACTTAAGATACGCAGAAACTAACAAAGACCTGGAGCAATTACTGAAGAAGGTCAAGAAGGAAAATGCCAAGGTAGGTTTAATGTTGAACATCAAGAAAACAAAAATAATGGCCATGGAAGATCTACAAGAATTTATCCTAAATAATGAGAAAATAGTCAGAGTCCCATACTTTGGATCAAATATTAATTGAAATGGGGAATGCAGTAAATAAATTAGAAGACTAGAATTGGAAAGGGCAGTGATGAAAGAACTGGACAAGATCCTAAAGTGTAAAGATATAAATTTGGACACCAATGTGAGGATTAGCCAAGCCATCATATTACCCATCATCATGCATAGATGTGAGAGTTGGATAGTGAAGAATATTGACAAAAAGAAAATAGATTCATTTCAGATGTGGTGTTGGAGAAACATGCTGAGGATACTGTGGATCGTCAAGAAGATAAACAAATGGTTTCTAGAACAGATCAATCTAGAACTCTCTCTGGAAGCCTGGATGACTAAATTGAGGGCTGTCACACTTTGGCTACACCATTAGAAGGCATAGAGTTGTAAGAGAACTCAAGGGCCATCAAGTCCAACCTCCTGCCATGCAGGAATACACAATCAAAACATCCCTGACATTTGGCCATCCAGCCTCTGTTCAAAAACCTTCAAAGGAGGAGACCCCACAACACTCTAACGCAGCATATTCCACTGTCAAATAGCAAAGTTCTTCCTAACATTGAGGTGGAATATCTTTGCCTGAATTTTGAATCTGTTGCTCTGAGTCCTATTCTCTGAATTGTGGTACCCAGAACTGCACACAGTATTCCATGTGCGGTATGACCAAACTAAAATAGAGTGGTACTATTACTTTCCTCAATCTAGACACTATACTACTATTGATGCAGCTTAGAATTGCACTGGCTTTTTTAGCTGCTGCATCACACAGCTGACTCATGTTTAACTTGTGGTCTACTAGGACTCCTAGATCCCTTTCACATGCACTGTTGTCAAGCCAAGTGTAACCCATCCTATATTTGTGCATTTCATTTTGTTGTTTTGTTTTGTTTCAGACTTGTTTTCTGAAAATTTATTCCTTCCAACCAGCTCTCATTTGCAGCGCTCCCCAACATGTGAAATGGTGTTCAAAGGAAGAAGACACCCTCAGATTATGTCAGTGAGGGAGCAGAGCACCACTGGAGTTTGAAAATGAAGGGAAGGGCATGTAACAGCATGATTTACAAATACTTTGCTTGGTATGGTATACACTATATGAGAAACTGAAGTTTACAACCCAGCATGTGTCTTATTATTGCAAGTAATTAGAAAGCATTTTAGTGTTCAAAGTTTTTCTGGGGTAAACCATCTTATCTGACTTGGAGAAGAAGACACCAAATTTTAAATCAGCATGATAGGACAAAGTTCAAAAATTGACTAACTTGCAATTAATTCCAGTAGTAATTGCGTTTTTAAAAAAATCTAGGCATGTGTAAAAGACGAGGAGTGTGGCATAATTAGTTGTGGGATTTTTTCCCCGGCTGTAATTACAGTGATGAATATGCATGAGGCAGCTTGGGAAGGCAAGCACAGCAAGCAATTGTATTTAATTAAACTTTTAGCTGGCTTAGCTGTGGAAGCTGCTTTTTGTTTTAATCCCCTCAAAACTATTATAAAATTTCCAGACAAATAAGCTGTATGCTAGGATATGAAAATGACATTTCATGTTCCATTTTTCACTGGCAGAGTTCTCTCAGGATATATATCATTTCCTGAGTCCTGGGTATTTATTACACCTTAGTATACCCACTTCTTGATATTTCTGTTTAAGTGTTCTCTCAGAACACAATAAACTTCATAACATTTTGGGTGCTGGTTTCCCCCCCATCTGTTTGTGTGCAGAGGAATTTTTTCTAAAGTACTGAAAATACTACTGAAAATACACCATTGTGGCTGGCCATTAGTCCAACACCAGAATTGGGTGTGTGTGCATGTGTGTTAAGAGAACTGAAACTATCTCTAGTGAGCTTTTGCCCATAGAATATGAAGTTGTGTAGCAGTCCATGATAAGGCTGAGGTCTGTCAGTCCCACTTTTTCACCCAGAAGCTTAACTAAGATGCAGGCTGCTGCCATGCTGCAGAATAAATCCAGTTTGACACCATTTAACTGTCATGGCTCCATCCTATGGAATCCTGGGATTCTTAGTTTCTTTGAATACCAAAGCTCTCTGACAGAGAAGGCTAAATATCACACAAAACTACAAATCCCAGAATTTCATAGTGTTGAGTCAAGGCAGTTAAAGTGGTGTCAAACTGCATTCATTCTGTACTGTAGTTGCAGCCACTGTATGTCCCAGGCTTAAAAAAAAAGGAGTCTGATCATATTTCCACAATCTTCTATGCCACTAGATAGTGATAGGAATTCTTACAAGTATGAATTGTACTACAGTACTGGTATACTGTTAAAGAATTCATAAATGGACAGTTTATTGCTGTTAACTGCCTTCAAGTCGATCTCAACTCATGGGGACCCTATGGATGAGACATCTCCAAGACAACCTGTCCTCTCCATTGCACTGCTCAGATTTTGCAGGCTCAGGCATGTAGCCTCC